CATGAAGCGTCAGGAGGAGATCTTCTATTCTGAACTACTTCCTTCAGGAAAGATGGACACTGGACCATTAGCATTTTACTTCCTTTTCTTCAACCTTGACCTTTCCCTTGTCAGGGTCCATTTAAAAAAATGCTACATCCCTTAGGAGGAGTGGCACACACTCCTTTGGGCCTTGTTTACCAGAGTCCTTTACTCCTTTTTTTTTAAGAAAAGGTAGGGATTTATGGGAATTTTGTGTCTTGGGCACAGAGAGGCGCTCAGTGAAGGAAGGACAGTGGCAGAGAGACAAAGGTTGATGGGGTTTTGCCATGACTGCTGGGGCATCGTGTCAGCACTAGAGCTTTCTGAACATTATTGTTATGTATGTGTTAGCCTAATTGTGTTACATGTGAAGTTGTGCAGTTTTTGTGTAACTACCCCGTTTCTCTCAGTGGATTTTACATTTACTAAGAGTAGGAACAGTGTCTGCTGCACCTTTATTATTCTCTGAGGAGGGATCACCTACTCATGAGCAGGGCTGCTGCTGAACAAAATGTCACAGGTCCCTGGCTGTATATTTGGTGATCCCTAAAAATAATTTTAGCTTATTTTTTATTCTTTGGACCCATTCATCCATCAGGGTCCCTACTATCCTCATGTTCTAAGAAGAAATATTTTAAACTAAAGATTGAACAGAAGCCCAGTTGATAACAGATACATATAGACCTGCCTTGATCAAAGCAGGGACTGGGGCATAAAAGCCCAGCAACTTGGCCTTCACCTTCCCTTGTGGCAGGTCCCTGAGTGGGCTTCCAGAGCCCTCAGAGCTCCTGCTGAACAAAATTTGAAAACTGTGGTATAAAAAAATGATTCCTAGAGAATCAGAAAATCTGGATTCTTAGCGTGACTTGCACTTCTACTAGTAGTGTGACATCATAGGCAAATCACTGATTGCTGTAAGCCTCAGTTTCTACATTTGTAAAAAGTGGAAAACAATATATTGCCTTGCTCAGCCTACATCAATGGATCACATATCTGAAAGCCCTTCAAAGTGCTCTATACTTAGGATGACTACAGTATCGTTCATTTAGCCTTTCTACTCAAATCACCCTTCAGATTATTGAAATCAGAAAATCACAATTAATATCACCTGAAAGAGTTATCTTTGCTACTCTATGTCCTTGACAATATCCCAGCTACCAGGTCAGAGGCCAGCCACTGCCTGTTCATATTTGTAAGAATGCCCTGAGAATGAGTGTGACATTTTCCAGTATGTAGTGAGACAAAAAGCCCACACAACAGTGATATGAAGGACAATGACTAAGCATAGCAAGAAAAAAATCAAAAAGTCACAATTAACTACAAGCTTTCCTGGTGTTGACAAATTTCTCTTATGGTTAACAAAGTAAGGACAACACTGTTGATTAGATATGATATGTAGAAATTGGAATTATTTCAAAGTGATAAATTCATCCCATTTTCAGCTTGTGTCCAAGTATATCTGATTTTAGAATCCACACTGTAAAATGATGGGATATAAGAAGACCTAAAAGAAAACACAAAAAATTAGAATAGACAGGGAAAAGTGAATACAAAGTATTTGAACTATTTAGCTTGAAGAAAACACCCTGAAGAGTGATTTAATAATTGGTTTTTAGGACACAAAGACATTTATTATATAGACTACAGTCTATGGCTGGCTCTTCACAAAGAATCGACAGGTCTATTTGAGCTTGTAGACCCTGGCCTTCAAGGAGAGTCATAGAAAATGGAAGATGGAAGACACCCTTTCAGGAACTTTGGCCCCTCTGCCATCAAATCCGTTTGGAACCTAAATCATTTCAAAGAGATGAAAATGTCATTCATTCTTGAAGAAACATAATTGATCCTAGATGGGATTAAGGATGGGATGACATGGTGGAATTGGATCTGAAGCATGATCTCGGAGAAAAGCTGATGATTGACACCCGGAAAATTCAGAGCAAGGAGGTAGGGCGAGGTAACTTCTTAGTAGCTCTTAAGTCTTCAGAGATGACAGAACCTGCTTTAGTTACCTGAGGAGATTGGCCTCCACACAAGACAGATAAGAGCGAAAACCCCATAACAAGCAGCTTTCCTTAATTGACACGTGGGATGGCTTTGGCAGACAGAGAAGCTCAGCCTCTATCAAGATAAGCTTGGCTTGTGGTCGGGCTGAAGGGCTTGTCTTCAGTTGTTTCAGGTTATTAGGAACAATTTCCAGTCTGGGAAGCACTGAAAGAGAGAAAAGATGCACAAAGCACACAGTGTCCTCTCTGGGTTTATAGACTCTCACATTGTTAATGCGAAGGACTCATCACATTTTGTAGAGTTAGTATGCATGGGACGAATCTATGTTTATACTTCTGAGGGTCAGTGTCCCATATAGCATTCATCCAAATCTCATACAGTGAGTAGCAGGTTGGAAATCTGTCCGCCAAGCAGGCCAGATCCATTACAGGTCTTTTGGGCCATAGACAGATTTCCTGAGTGTAATACTGCTGTCTGTCTTCATAATCCACTGAACACAGGCCTGACCACCTTTAGATAACCAGACTTATTTGAGAAGAATACAGCATGATCCAAAGAGTCAAGAGGTAAGAAACAAGAGTAAACAGGCATCACAGTTTGCTGTATTTTCCATTCATTTTTCTTCTCGGGAAGATTTTAGTTGTCATATGGTCTACTTAAAAAGAAATGTTATAGATCCCTCTAGTACATAAGAGAACATTTTCCCCAACTATTAGACAAAAGTTTAAACAGCTAGTATGCCTCTTATATTGAGTTGTTAGAGGTCTTTTAAAATCACCAAGAGTTATGGTCATCGTGTTTTTACTTCTTTTCTTCCTTACTGTACCTGATGATAAATCATTGCCTAGAGTGGTCTAATGTGTACTGTGTCTCAAGTTTATGTCTGTGCTGTATTAATACAGAAAACATTCTGCCTTACAGATGGAGTCAACATATATCTCAGGTTCATCCCAGAAAGCGTTGTTTGGTTTTCTGGGGTTTGGGTCTGCTCTATATCAAGATTTTGATGTATAAAGATTAGGTTTCCATGAGTGGCTTTGCATCTGCCAGAACTGAAGGAGAGTCTGTTACTTATAAGAGGTCATGGAGAGCAACTAATTCAAGACACATGGGGGTCTTGACCAACATAACCAGTTAGTTAATGGAAAAGCTAGCACCATAATGTGTTGAATATTCTTTGCATGTAATACATTACAGCACCTTTTGATATGCCTGTGTCTGGATAATCCCAATACGGAACTAGACTCAGGAGTATAATTGGGATGCGCTTGAGCTCATCAAACACTAGGTGGCACCTGTCTCTTTGTACATCTGAAGGGTAGATGAAGTGTGTTCAATTGGATTTGTGCATTGAGTGGGGAGTTGTCAATAATTTGCAGTCTATGATCTTTGTTCTTTTATGTATTTGTGCAAGCTAAGCTGGCATCTGTGACTCATAAACCATGTCAGTATTGCAAGTGAGATGTATGAAATTCTTGGTAGATATAAATACGTGTAAGGACCGCCGTCTCTAAGAGCCTCACCTTGGGCATCAGATATCTGAAGGGTTTTAAAAATTCATGACTTCATGAACATAATAAAAAAGATTGGCTGAGAATGAATGAAACCATTTAATGGAATGAGAATTATGTTATTACACTACATAAACTTTGAATGATAACAAACGAAGGTGTGATATTAATTACCAATGCCCCATTAGTAGAAATTGGTAAAACCAGGTAATGAAGTGTAGTTAAGGGAATAACTTCTGTTCTGAACCAGTTTGGGATTCTTAAATTTTTAGGTTCTAAGGATCTGCCTGTGAGGGATTACAGCTCTTTTCCTCCACGTTTAAGCTGTCGATGTCGTGTTCTTGAATCAGGAGGCCCTGCTCCTCTGCAGTGCTGAGTGTAAAATCTCTGCTGCTCATTAAGTCTCCCTGGAAGCTCTTTCTTCTTCTTTCTGCAGCTCTGCAGCTGTCTGTATCTTTATACAGAGTACACTGTTTAGCAGGATGGTTGCTTCTCTTATTTGACCCCTTGTGGCAGAGGGAGAGGCAATTTAAATTTTTCCTGTTTTGGTAGAACTTCTGCAACTTCCAGATTCAAGCTGAAAACCCATCTTCTATTATATGGAAATGCAGATGTCAAATTCTGCTCTCAAGGGGAACAAGCCTGTACACAGGTCCTGTATAATTGGGTGCAGGGGAGAAAATAGTACTTTATAAAACTGTGATCAAAGTGAATGTTGGAATTTCTTGCAAATGACCCACCCAGTCATCTTTCTGCAATCAGAAACAGCTCAGCTATTCTACACTTTAATATTAATAGTTTCATTTGACATGAGCACAACCACAAGAATCTCTCTTTGCACCTCCAGCTGGGAACGAAGGATTGTTTAGGTTGCTGTTATTGCTCATGGCAGGTGTAGTAGGAGGGCTGGTACCATGCTGATATTGGCAGAGGGTACAATTTGACTCATTTAATAGGTATGATGGCTTGCACTCTGGATTGAGAATGGTGTGTTTTCAAATTGAGACATGGAGCTAAATAAACTCACAAATATAGTTACAGAATACTGGGGTAGGAAATTGTAACATGGTAACAATGTGAATTTCCATTAATGGGTGTCTTGTACAACTAAACACATAAATCTTCTATTAGAATGCTGCAAGTTTTACAGAGAATTATGAGAATGAGATGAATAGCATCTATATAAGGAAAATCTGAAAAATCCTGGACAAAAGCACCAAATGCTGAATGTGTGTGCAATATTCTGTAAGGAAAAGGAGAGGCGTGAAGAAAGCCTCATGTAAAACCGAAAGGCAAACAAAGGCTTACTAACATTTTCATTGCCATTACCGATTTTTTTTCCTAGGGATAATGGTTGTATACAAGGCATGCACATTCATCTACCCATGACATCTGTGCAGAGCAGGAATAGCGTATCTCTCAGTCTGTAATTGCTTGCCACCCTGTGCTGGGGAAAATGAACTCCTGATATTTGGGAAAAAAACAAGCTCTGCTTTTTTTGGCAAACCACTGGTGATAGTAAGGTAAGCTTGCTATTTCATGTTTTTAGCTATTTTGTAGACAAACAAAAGGAGTGGAAAAACTCTACATGTCTATTACTACTGACTACTTACAGAAGCAGAGAAATTGTTTTAGAAAAGAACCTATTTGGTGCATAAATATGCTTTGTAAGAAAGGTTCCAAGTTTGCAAACATTTAGGATGGCTTTTAACACTTAATTTGCTGGAGATACAAAACCACTGGAGTTCTCAAGGTTTTTATTGTGTATAAAGGAATAGAAGAACAGAATTCAATGTCAGTCTTTCAACGGAAGAAATCATGCTATGCTGGCATAATCAAATTCTCAATCAGTGAAGGACTTTGAAAACCTTGTAAACATAAACCAAAACAAAACAAAAAACCCCCATGAACCCAAGCTCTTACTGGTATTTCTGATACAGTTCCTTCCTTATCCTTGAAAGCCATACTCTTTCTCCAGTTAATACATTAAGTTCGCTCCCTTTGTATGGTCCCACATCAGCCACTGCAGTGGCCAGAGAGGAAATATTGGTTTCCTTACTTTGTAACTCTGGTGGGAGTTCAGGGGCTATACTGTAAATTAAATCCTGGTGGCCCTGGAGGAAATGCTTCTTTTGGTCTGTTTTTGAAAATTGCAGGTGATCAGTATGATGATTCTACATTGCCAATGTGTTTTCAGGACTTTGCATGAAATAAACATATTTCCTCACGAAGACAAATGCCTCCAATAGAAATGAAAGTAGAACTGGCACAAGCAGAGGATCAGCCAGAGTACGTTACCAGTTGCCTTCTGAGCCTCCCTGGAGGAAATGCACTCAATAATAACTTAATAAGTATTTATTGAACACCTACTTTATTCCAGGCACTGTGCACCCAGTGATAAATAAGACAGAAAGGCTATGGCTTGATTGGAGCTTACATTCTAGTGTGTGTATATCTGGGGGAGATAGACAACACATATAAGTTAACCAATATTTAAATAAAATAATTTATAGTAATGTTAAGCAGTTTGTTTCAGCTATCTATTACTGTTGTAGTGGAGGAAAAATATTTTTTCCTTTAACACTTCTGAGTTTTTGGCTGAGAACCCCTGTGATGAAAAGACAGATGAGCAAAAGAAAAACAAACATTTATTAACATGTGTGCCTCATGTGTGCACAGGAGATACACAGAGAAACTAACTCCCTGAGGTGGTCCAAGCCACCAACTTAAGTACCATCTTTAGCTATAGACAGTAGAAGCATGTGGGGGAGGAGGGAGGCCAGTGATGAAGGGTCCCCCAAAAAAGCACAGTAAACAAGGGTAAGGGTTATTATGCCGATTTAAGTGGGTGCCTTCCCTATTGATAAAATTCTCTTGTGATGTAGTCATCTTCTCTTTTTGGTACAGAGAGGGAGTCACTTACAAATAGAGATTTGCTTTATAAATGTAACTTTCCCTTACAAAAGGATAATTTCTGTTTTCAGAGATTCTTCAATGTTTGCTGTTTCTCAAAAATAATCAGCTCAGAATAATCTGTATGCCAGATTGTTCTGGGGTGGCATATTCTGCTATCCTTCACTGTATAATCACCCCAAAACATAGTGTCTTAAAACAGTTATTTTGTTCTTGATTTTGTGGGTCCAGAATGTGGGGTGGCTTTGGCTGGGCTGGCATCTCTGAGCCACATGTCATCAGCTGAGATTGTCAGGCATGGAGGGCCTACTTTCAAGACAGCTTCTGTACTCATACATCTAGTGTCTCCATGGCGTTGACCTTGGCCACATGGTGTCTCATCCTCCAGGGACTCTCCAGGTGGGTTGGGTTTCTCACAAAATGGTAGTGACACTTTTTATGTGATGTCTGGCTTCCACATATCACAAAGCAAAAGTTGTCAGAATAGTTCAAGGTGGCCCTGGAAGGAGTACAATGTCATTTTTCATATATTCTACTGGAAAAATCAAGTCAATCTCAGCATCCACCTACATTCAAGAGATGGTTGAGAAATAGGCTCTACCTCTTGACAGGCAAGTGGCAAAGTCATATTGTTGAAGAGCAGGTAGGATGGGAAACATTTTTGTGTCCATCTTTGGAAAATGCAATCTACTACATTCTTGAAGAAAAGGAAACATGGGGGAGAGTGGTTGAGGGCAGAGGAAAGACAGACTTATTGTTAGAGAGGGTAGCAGCTATGGGAAAGGGTAGGGGGAAGTGCATTCCAGGCAGAGTGCAGTAAGTTCTAGTTTGAACAAGCTTGACTAGAAATGGTCAATTTACATTCATGTGGATGCCCCATTAACAATATTGATGCCGGAGGTGGGATGAGGAGTGGTAAGCTGAAAGACAGCATTCACCTAGCTTTGTTTGTCCACCTTCTCTGAATATCTGCTTCAGTTCATCCTTAGTCATTTCCATTTTTCTTTTCTGCCTAATGAGGTGCTGGAGGTGATAAATTTCAATGCTGACTGCTTAGATACAGTTGTGGTACAAAGTTCCTAAATCCAATACAGGCAAATGCAGATACATCAATATTGATGTTGCCTGTGAGTTGTCGTGTTCCAGATCACTGGAGCAAGGCCATGGGTGTTGGCAGCACCGTGAGATGGAGCAGAGAGCCAGCCCTTCAATCTTCAAAGCACTTCACAATAATGTCTATCATAATTAATAATTGTTTTGTTCCTTAATGTTTTTGCAAAATCAATGACCAATTATTCACCACAACACCTTAAGGGCTTCTCTAGAAGCCATGTACACCCCTTGCAGGCTATGAGGATATAAGTTTATTTGCCTTGAGCAAGGACTCTGAATCTCTAGTCTTTGCTTATTTTACACCTAAAAAGCTCAGATCATATAATTTTGAAGTGTTTTTGTACTTCTCAAATTCAATGATTCTATATTAAGGGTATTAAAGCTTCATGTTAAAAAAAACTAATGAACAAATTAATATATAGGCATTGCTAATAAACACAGGAAAAGATGTTCAATATCCTTGGTCATTAAATCACAGGTAAGTTAAAATTACAGTGAGTTATCACTTCACATCTACTAGATGGCTATAATAAAAAAGACAGATGATAACAAGTGTTGGTGAGGATGTAGAGAAACTAGAATCCTCACACTTTGCTGTTGGGAATGGAAAATGATGCAACTTCTTTGGAAAACAGTTTGGCAGTTTTTCAAAATAATTTAATATGAGTTTAATGTATGATCCAGTAATTCTACTAAAACTCTCCCCAAGAGAAATGAAAGCATATACCTATACAAAGACTTGATGCTCATAGCAGCATTATTCATTATAGTCAAAACTGGAAATAATCTAAGTGCCCATTAATTGAATGGATAAACAAAATGCGGTATGTAAATATAATAAAATATTATTTAGCAATAAAAAAGAATGGGCTACTGATGCATGCTACAAAACGGATGAGCCTCAAAACATCATTTTAAGTGAAAGCAGCCATATGGAAAATAACACATATTGCATAAGTCCATGAACATTCTTCACTCTAGTCCCAAATAGAGCTAGTAAATTTCTACATCAGGTAAAGAGAAGAAAATATACCCCCTTCACATCTTACATTTCTTCTCTATCCAAATCAATAATTTAACCCTATCTGAGGGATAAACTGTTGGAATACATGATATTAAATAAAGTTAGTTTCTTAATTGTGACAAAATAATATTATTAATAATATAATAATGATACCTACTATTACTATTATTTGATTTTATTCTCAATCCTTGCATTATCCTTGTTTTTTTTTTAATTTTTTTTATTAGCTGAGCCATCTTGCCACCTGTTGGCAGCTCAGCGGCTGCTCAGCTCAGGCTGGGACTCGAACTGCTGTTGCTCAGAGCTCAAACTCTTGAGCGAGCTCTTAACCAACTGAGCCACTCGGCCGGCCCTGCATTATCCTTGTTTTAAGTCAAAGGAACAAAAACTAAATAAATCAAAACTTGAATTAAGAAAAGAACTGACTTGGAGGAACCAAGAGCAGACTCAACGCCTCATTAGGGCACTTGTGTTTACTGATTGACCATCAATCTATAGTGAAAGAGCAGACTTCCTCACTGAGTTCTTGGCTTCCTCACTGCTCTAGGGAATTATCAGTGGTTGAGATCATACAGTATTTTTCTTTCTCCTCCTGACTTATTTACTTAACATAATATCCTCAGGATCCATCTGTGTTGTTGCAAATGGCAAGATTTCCTCCTTTTTATGGCTGAATAATATTCCATTGTGTGTGTGTGGATATCTCTCATCTTCTTTAGCCATTTATCCATAGATAGACATTTAAGTTGTTTTTATAGCTTGGCTTTAACGCTAAAGTGAGCCTATTCTAGGCAGCATATAGTTGGGTCTTACTTTTTATGTATTCAGCTACTCCATGCCTTTTGATTGCAGAATTTAATGCATTTACATTCAAAGTAATTATCAACAGATAGGGACTTACTAATTCCATCTTATTCATAGTGTTCTGGCTGTTTTTTAATTCCTTTGTTTCTTTCTTCCTATCTTGCTGTCTTCCTTTGTGAATTTATAGTTTTCCATAAGGGCATACTTTGATTTCCTTCCTGTTATCTTTTGTGTATGTACTGTAGGTTTTTGCTTTGTGTTACCGTGAAACTTACATAAACATCTTATAGATATAACAGCCTATTTTATGCTAACAACTTAACTTCGATCGCATGTAAAACATGCTCTTTTACTCCCTCCCCTTTTATGTTTTGATTTCACAATTTACCTCTTTTTATATTGTATATTCATTAACAAATATTGTAGCTACAGTTATTTTTAATACTTTATCCTTTAAAGTTTATAGTAGAGTTAAGTGGTGAACACACCACCATATTGCAGTATTAGACTACTCTGAATTTGACTATATACTTATCTTTACCAGTGTTGTATATTTTCATATGTTTTCATGTTACTAATTAGTATTCTTTTATTTCCCCTTGAAGAACACCTTTCAGCATTTCTTATAAAGCATGTTTACTGGTGATAAACTCCCTCAGCTTTTGTTTG